CTGATAATGTATGTGTGTGCATACCGGTACCGGTCTCGGCTTTTAGACAACAACTCTGTTCATCACATATCCTCCCGCCCTCCACACAATATAACATTTACCAACTAAGCGCCAACGCGCGTACAACTAGCGTGCAATTAGCGCACAAGATTTTGTCGCAGTCGGATGGGTTCTCTTTGCGGTGTCTTGCCTCGTAAAGAAGTACAACCATTCCTGCGCAATCTCCAAAGCAAAGGTAATTGTTGAGTCTGGTACTTGTTGCAGTAATATACTTGAGCGTGTGGGCAAGAGATGTGTTAGAATCGGAGTTGTAGTATAAAAGGTGTGACCGATACCGAGACCACATATAATCAGAATCTATGTTGTGTATGTACCGGTAGTCTCCTTATTGCTTCCGCATGTTGATGGTGTACTCCAGCGACATCAAGGTCGCACAAGAAGTTACTTATTTCCAAGGACAGCATGGCGGCACTTAATGAGATCTAGTCGTATTTCATCGAAAAGGAGAGTCATCACACTAATATTTATCCAGTCACCAATATTGATCCAGTATTATAACTAACATTATGCTCTGAGAAAGCGGGCACGTTGGTCGAAAAGATTGCGCGCGTGTTTGTGCACACACTTTTCGCGCGCCCCAATTCTGCCCAGCGCCACAAAAGGGACTCCAACTTCAGTTTCACACCCGCGGCCTACCTCTTATCACAGAATCATAATTACACCATAATTAATAACATTAATTATTATTTAAATCAAATTAGTACAAATTGGTGTATTTATTTAAATATGTCTCTAATAATGGTAGCAAACACGGCACTGTATCGAAATTCGGAGGGGAACAGTCTCATGAGTGAATGTTGGGATTAAAAACTACTCACGACAGACGGGTGCGGAGTAGGTGACTCGGAGAGAATTACTTCATTGTCGGTTAAAGGGATTTGATGCCATTTTGAGTGATAAGAATATCCATAGGAGAAGTAAGAATACCAGATGTTTTAATGGTTGTAATTGTGATCTTAGAATCAGTATATTTTGGTTTCTGGAGCCAAATTCTACGAACATGATCTCTATACCATCTTGTACCTAGACCTGGATGCATTCCTCTCCATCGGAATAAAGTTGTATGATTGCTAACGTAGGTTGTAAGATTGTATTTATCGCATAAGGAATTCAAACTACTGGACCAGCGAGATGGCAGCTGGTTATGACCAAGATGTATTGCTAATCTTCCTGGATAACCAATACTGTCAATAATTACAACTCGAATCTAAATACAACTCGCTAGAGGATGCCAGCCAGTCATGGGGCAAGGTATGGGTAGTGAGGGTTTAGGGTGGTTTACGTCTCGCCGTAGTCCAAGCAATTCGTCCAGGCTACTTATCAACAGACTCAGTTCCCGATGGTCCAGGACATCCAACAATATTAGTCCTGAGTAGAAAACAGAAGATTAAAATTGAACAGAATGATCGTCTAAGCCTGATCGTCTAAGCCTGATCGTCTAAGCCTGATCGTCTAAGCCAGATCGTCTAAGCCTGATCGTCTAAGCCTGATCGTCTAAGCCTGATCGTCTAAGCCAGATCGTCTAAGCCTGATCGATCTGCGATATTGTTAGCAGCGAATGGGGATAGACAGTGAGGGTGGCGCACGGTTACTTACGGTGCTTAGCTAAGGGTTGAGTCATCATTTCTTGAATCCGCATTCTCGTTATGCAATTCTCAGTATCAATATACAAGACCGACACATCGGGGTTGCATGAAAGTATAGAAGCGGCGAGGTTCATGAGTAATTGAGACTTGCCCGATCCCGGATCACCCACGATCTCCGTGATACCGTGATCTGGCGTGCAAAACCCATTTTCGTCAACACAACCAAACAGACCATTAAGTTGCCTGCTTCCAAAATCGATCTTCGGTTGGATGCATCTTACAGTAGGCTGATCTGGTTTGCAGTTGTTGAGAGTGTATTGAATTGCGTTGAATAATCCTTTAAGGGTCATTGACTAATTTTGATCCCTTTGATGAAAGTCCTAATCACCAGATTAGACACTACTGACTCTAATGAAGAAGAAGACGACGACCGAAGCTGGCTAACTGACTCGGAGGATTTGGACCCAACCAAATTCTACACCAGCAATAGAACACTGGACACAGACAGAGCCTCAGGCCGCATACAGGTCGGTCGACAGAAAGTTGTTAAGGACCGACCTAGAGCCGAAATGGCTCGCTGCGCAGTATGTAGACGGCTCATGAACCCCGACGAGCCCCAGGAAGCCATGAGTTCTGACACGAATCATGGCACACTCGTGTCACCACCGCAACATGGGAGTGTGTTCGAACTGCCACACGCGTGCGTGTCAGAGGTGCCTTGCGTTCGGTCGCTTTGTCGGCTCAGCAGCTTGAGGCAAAAAATATTTGCAGAATTACAGGATATTGCTCCGTCTGCCGGTAATGGGGCGCTCTGGTCAACAGGCATGTTCATTTTAATGATCCCCCTACGCCGCCGTGACGGGTCGTTCAACAAAATGTGGCCAACCGCCGCATACAGGCTCCGGTTTGGCGGTACTACGTTGCAGGTTTCGCTCTCACGCGACTTCGATGATGCAGTGAGTGGTGACCGGATTTTCCACGGCCGATTTTGTGTGCCTGCCCGCCACGGGATCAGTGCCTCGGTTTGCTTCGTCTCTGGAGCAAGTGGTGGCGGCTCGGAGTGGGGGGCCGGTCGAGGGTCAGCGGATTACGACGGAGACTACGAAATCGAGCTCGGCCGTGACAAGATGTACTGTTTAAGAGACGGGACATTAAGCAATGACTTGACGTGCTTGCTGCCAGGCATCGAGTTAACGCTGGCGCCGACGCTGGCGACTTTGGGGTCCCTGCATCTGGCCTACTGGGACGAAGTGGTGGGGACCTGGACCTCCAGAGCCTTCCAGGCACCGGAACTTTCAGACGAAAAGAACAAAGAGCCGCAAACGTCGGTTCCGCAAACGTCGGTTCTGCAAACGTCGGTTCCGCAAACGTCGGTTCCGCAAACGTCGGCTCGTGTGCTGATCAACACAAGGCGTTGCATCTGTCGAGTGTACCGCACCGACGAGCAGACGGGCTGCGAGTTCCGCTTAACCGAAGACCTCCTCATCTCCTCGCCAGGGACCTACATCATCACCGAGAGCTCCGCTACCAAATGCGCCACGGTGTAGGGGCACCAAATGAAGCACGAGGCGGGGCGCTCGGCATCGGGGTCCGCCACACGATTTTTCCAGCACCATTGGATCGCACCCGTTTTTGGTACATGTGGTTCTTGAAGCAGCCAACCGCGAAAGGCAAAAACGATGAAAAGACCACCGCCAACAAGCAGCCGGGCGGCAAGGAGCAGCCGGGCGGCAAGGAGCAGCCGGGCGGCAAGGAGCAGCGGGGCGGCAAGGAGCGGGGTGGCAAGGAGCAGCGAGCGCGGGGCGAAACCTCGCGGAGTGACCAGTTGGCGACCCGCGACCGAGCAGATAACGTCTTACCTCCGACTCCGGTGCGGGTGCCCTTGAGCCGGGTGCTTTCGGGCGATTTCCCCATCGACGCGCCCGCCTTGTCGCAGCTACGCGCGAAGATCTCGAGAGACTTCGGCCCGAAGGCTCTGCACGACATTTCATCGGTGGGCACGCCCTCCACGGACACGTCCCCGCCAATGCCCAGCTGCACTGGCACAACGGATATAACTGCCAGCTGTGCCGACGTTACTCAATCCAGACCTCGGCGAGGCGACGCTCCACCCTCTGCGCGGACCCAGTCCTCCGCGGGGGGCCGACCTTCAACACGAGAGGGCCGGTCTGCAACACGGGGGGGGCGACCTTCAACGCGGAACCAGTCGTCAAGGGGGAATCAACCCTCAAGGCGGAATCAATCGTCAACGCGGGGCCAACATGACTTCGGGGAATCGCCGGGCGAGATTATCGACGGGCGGTCAGTGGCTGATCAAATGGATGAAGTAATAACAATCCTCCAGGATCTGAGGTCCTCGGTCACCAGCATGTCTCTTAAACAGGCAGCCATGCGAGCTGATCTCAACCGACTTCAAAGGGAACTGAATGCAATGTGAAGCCGACTGTGCCGCGCCGCCGTGACTTTCCAATTTTAAGGTCCAAGACAACCTTAAATAATCTTCCCATTTTTAGCTTCTTCTGAAATCTTCTCACCTTTAGTTACAAATTGCTCAGGTGGCCCAACAGTCATCGGACTGAAAGAGTTCAGTCACCCGACGAGGCGCGCCTTCAGTGAAATTATTCATACGCTTTAAACGTAACTTTTATGTGGTACGAACACCCATTCGTATGTTCTTCAACTTGAGCTATTTCCACCAGAAAAGCAGAGGTGGAGTGAAGCAGTTGGAGTGAAGCATTTGGACGAGAATCGCACCAGCTGGATCTATAGCTGGGCTTTGTCTTTGTTCAACTCGAGCATGCTCGCGGCCCGGCTGGTTTGTCTTCGCATCTGGAGTGTGCCGTAGTCGTCCGTGAGACGCATCTGCGGAGTATCGTCAAGAGGCAGACACTGACAGATGACCGTAGCGTTGAACACAACAGCTGCCAATCCGCACTGACAGGCAATATAAAAGCACAATGCGTGGACATTGTCCAGTTGCACTACCACGTAAGGATACGTCGGACTTGCCGTTTCCCAGATCACATCCTCTAAGCAATATGAGTTTGGAAGTGCGTTTAATGTACGTGTTTTCATGTGTGTGTTGGCTGACTGATAAGATCTCGGTACGTGAGTATAACTACCCCATAAGAGAGGAGAAAGCCTGATCCTATAGCGGCTAACCAGTTAGTAAGGGCCCATAAAGGTTTCATGTACTCGAATTTCAGCCAGTGGACCGCGGCCAGGACGATGGTCGTTAGTAGGCACACGATTGCTAAGGAGAACATGCTAGTAAATAGGTCTCGAAGGGGGCTAAGTTTTGACTTATCAACAACATCTTCGATATCCCCCTGGAGCTGTGAGAAAGTCTGTTGAAATCGCTGACAAGAATTCTGGAACCTCGGCGTGTCCGGGGAGATCCGGGCCGAGATGAATGCAGGGATCTCCTCATTCTCATCGTAACCTGCGTAGCTTTGATCGACGCGTTTAGCAGCCGTCGCTCGAGTGGGAACCTCTGCTCGAGCCGGGACATCTTCTAAAACGGGGGTATCTTCTAAAAAGGGGCCATCTGCTGGAACCTGGGCATCTGCTGGAACCCGGAGGCTTGAGGTTTCGTGAGGAGAGTCCTTGTGAGGAGAGTCCTCGTGAGGGGAGTCGTCGTGAGAGGAGTCCTTGTGAGGGAAGTCCTTGTGAGGGGAGTCGTCGTGAGGGGAGTCCTCTTGTGTTGTGGCGTCAGCTTTCACGAAAGGGTCGGCTTCCGTCGTCCCACCAACGGCTTGAGCGGTGGTTCGGAGTATTTGAACCGGGGCTCGGAGGGTTTGAGCTGCCATTCTCCGCAGAGCTGCCGTTTTGACGCCCGATGTGCGTTTCAGAACGGGAGGGTCGACGAGGTCGCTGGTCGCCCTTTCCGTAGCAATCTGCTCGTCGGGGTTACAAGCCTCGGTTGACTCGACTATGATCTTATGCAAGTCCGACCGAATACGGCCCACGTGTATGGCTGTCGGATCCGCCATAATGGGACCTTGGAGAATGTCTCCATCTATAAAGTAGTAGTCCACTAGAGATATATGTCCTGACTCCAAACTGCATGCTAGAGCAAACGAGGTCAACGTTATAACAAAGGCAATCAATGACACCAATGTAGTTACTCGTATATTCAAAAAGAGGAAGGGACCACTCCCCATTTTCCGCAGACACCACCAAGAAGAAAACCCGGACTCGAGGTCGAGCCAGACAGCCGGAACATTCACAACAACAGAGCTCTAACACCTCTGCTAGATTCGCCCTCGACCACTATTCAAAAACAAGTTGCCGCCTTGGTGCGCCTTCATCACCATCTGACGCCTCTGCTGACCAATGCCCAAACCCTTCTGTCCTTTGGCTTTTGCGAGCTTGAACATCGGCGCATACCGCAGCATGTCCGGGAAAATAGTGAACCGAATTTGGCTGCCTCGAACGAATACCAACTACAAAGTTATTCATATCACCAGCGCATTCATACCAGCCCCTCCATACCAGCACGCCTTTTTTCGGACATACACATGTTCTCGCCACCTCCGCCTCCGTACCCTCCGCCACCGTACTTACCTCTAGGGGGGTGGCTTTACCACTCTTGCTGGTGAAAGTGGTTGACACCAGCAGAATATTCATATTGTCTTCAACATTGGCGAGAGTACCGCGAACAGTATCTCCAGTCTTCATCTCGACTGTTACCGTGTGGCCTAATGACTCATAGTATAGTTTCAATGGGATCCCTACATTCATCTTTTTATTTAATTCCTGTCATCGCAGCCCAAGAAATCTCTCTCCGCATGACACAACCCTGCAACTTTCGTTGCACCCCACCTCGCAGCCCAAGCCCCTTCGATCACGAATAAAAGTGGAATAGTTCAGAGGTGTAAAACACGTTATTAAGTGTATTCTGTTTGCGAGCACACGCGTGTTTGCGAGCACACGCGTGTTTGTTTGCGCGCGCAATTAGTTGTCGAGTAGCTTAGCGGCGATGCCATCGATGACTTTGGGGTACGGCGGCCGGAGGAGTGGTGCGGCGAGTGCGTCGTGCAGGATTTGCGAGACGAGGTGGTTAGCTTTGTAGGCCTTGCCGCCTGCGAGCATGCTGGCGTTGGTGGCGGTTTCGACGGCGACTTTGGCTGCGACGGACTTGGCGTTGTTGCAGCGTTCCTTGGTGGCGGGGGGGTAGGGCATGTCGGTGATTTGGGTGAGTGCTTCGACGAAGCCGGCGGCGGCGTCGATGTTCAGTGCGAGGGTGCCGAGGGTGGTGCGGACGAAGGGCGACTGTCTGGCGTTGTTGTCGAGGAGTTGCAGGAGCGCGGCGAGTGCGCCTTCGGCGACGCCTACGAAAACGGAGGCGAAGAGCAGCGTGCTCCAGTGGCGCGCGTTTATGCCGGACAAACTGCCTGGGAAGCCGAGTCTGCAGGCGGCCTGGGCGCACTGGAGGGTGAGGCCGACGCTGGCGGTAGGACGCATGCCGAGCGGGTCCCAGTGGTCGTCGAGGAGGAGTTGTGTGCGGTGCACGAAGAAGCCGTCGACGGCGTCTTCGGATTGCGGGACGCAGCGCGCGGCGCACATGAAGTAGTCCGCATCGGGTCCAAGGGTGGCGAAAGACTTGCGACCGGTGAGTTCGAAGAGCCCGTCTTTGTTGCGCACGGCGATGGTTTGCGTGAGTCGTAGCTCGCCGCCGCTGCCGGGCTCCGAGTTGGCGACGGCCATGATCTGGCGTTCCGCAATGACCTGTTGCACAAGCCAGAGTGTGTTTTGCTTGAGTTCCTCCGCGTGCTGGGCGGGAACGGCGTACACCGGCACGGTCGCCGCGGCCGAGTTACCGAGCGGCATGGCCATGGCGAGGGCGGTGCACGGCGCACGGGCGGCCAGCTTGCGTACGGCCTTGGCGACGTCTGCGAGAGAGTCGCCGAAGCCGCCGTACTCGATGGGGATGGGTGCGCCAAACACACCCGTGACACGGAAGTCGGCGATGGTATCAGGGTGCACTCGGATCTGGCCCAGTGTATTTTGTTCCTGTTCTCGGGCGACCCAGCGTTCGAGATGTTCGTCAACGATGGGTCGGATGCCAAGGAAACCTTTCTTGAGGTAAACCGGCGCGCTGGCAATGGCGTGGAAGGTCTTCAAGTAACGGCCTTTGGCGGAGAGCAGCAGCGGCATGGTCTCTGCCGGTACGGGTGCGACGGGGTTGCTGCTCGGCGGCGCGTAGACGTTGACGGTGGGCGCTTCCTCGAGGCAATGGACACGGTGGAACGCGCCCTGCGGCAGGTAGCCCTCCTCCCCAGCGGCGATCACCGTCACCTGGTACTCGAATTGCCCGTCGGGCAGCGGCACATACGCCTCCTCCATGACGCGGCCGCGTGCCACATGCAGCAGTACTGCCGCCTCGGCATGACCGTGCAATGTCGACGCCATGCCGGAGAGGAAGAGGAAATGTGCTACTTCGTACTCCTCCGTCCGACACAACGTCTGCCGGTAGTACACACCGTTCGCCGGTCCCTCGCTAGCCTTGGCCGGCGCCGTTGCGGGCGTACCAGTTGCCGCTAGGATCGCCCGCAGTTTGGCTGCGTTCTCCTCAGAGTCGACCGGCAGGGGAACCTCTACAGACATTTCAAAACAAAAAGAATACAAGACGATGTTTCGGTCCACTGCGACATCTCTTTAAAGCGACACCGTCCGCCTCAGAGTATTGGTGAGGAAGTTTTTCCATCCATCCCATCCATCGCCCAAAACACCCCATCCATCGGCCCCGCTGGTTCCATGGGCCAGGCCTTTTGGCTGGTCGCGGGACAGCTGCAGCCGGCACGCAGAATCCCGAAAGAACCTCAACTCGACGAACCTTGTCACAGAAATCAACTGCTCGATGAACCGCACTCACTCACGTCCACTTCCGGAAACTCGGCACCATCAACAGTCGATGGCATACGCTATGGGGGTACACGCACATACTGAAAGAGTTGGCCACATTCAGGCGAACAAGCCCCCTTACTTTCACATAAAAGTTGGAGCGCATTTCTTCACTGAAACGACGAGGCATATTCGGGCATATTCGTTCGGCGATCAATTCAGGTGAGGCAGCAACTCGGACGAATCAACAACTCGACGGTGGCGGCTTTCAACCACAACCGGATTCCTCCGACCGACCGGATTCAGTCCTCTTTGGGAAAACCGGGATCGTCGGACATATTTCAGGTCGTCAGTCAGTCTCTACTCGGACTCGTTGTCACTGGTAAAATCGTCGTCATCATCTCCCTCCTCTGTTAACCGATCACCACTCCTATTTGATTCTAACTGCGTAGCAGCTGTCTTAGGAAAGGCTGACAGTTTGGGCATGAAGCCCACGAGCTCGGGAATTGCCTCGATCCTTAACTCACGATGCTTGGAGAGTTTGCGAACACTCTTCGGTTCTGAAGGGAAATACGTGTGTTAAGAACCCGAGCGAATGGCAAAACGTGTTTGTGACCAGGTGGGCGTGAGAAAGCGTGTAGCCTACGACCACGAAGACCGGTAGAGGTGCGTCCTGCTTTGCCGGCTTTGCTGCTATATCGTCTTAATAGTAGCTTGTATAATTCAACGTCGGGGGTTTCTGTTGCTTTGATTTTGGCTTTGAGATGGGGGAAATTCCGGATGGCTGGTAGCAGTTGATTTTTATAGTGAGTGGTCAAGGTGGGAAAAGCCTCAGTATCAGTTGGTTGCCAGACTTCTAGTGCATGGTTGCTTTCCGCGTAGTTTGCTTTGAAGAGCTCAAACCGGACATTGAGTGGTTGGTCGAAGACGGCAAGTTCCTTCTTAGACTGGCGTAGTCCGTCTAGAAGCGTATGGGTTGGGTGCCGGTCGCTTAGGGAGTCCGTTAATGACAAACTCAGCTGCCCTACCTGACCGAGCATTTGTCTAATTTCCTCCACCGTCTCCGCCTGACTCTGCACCGCCTCTCGCACCTCCTCCGTGGCCATCACACCCACCGGCGGAATGGACCCATATACAGGCCCGGCTATCCTCATATGCCACAAGACGCGAAGTCCCGCCAATTTGTCCGACAACTGAATTGCATCGTCATCCATTAGATGTAATTTCCTCACATAAAAATACAGCTGGCGGGGTACAGCTTCGCGCAATCTGGTAGAGCACCACCCAATGGGGTAGAGCACTGCACAGTTGATAGCACTATTCGCAAGTTGGGACTGGAACTTGATTCGCAAGTTGGGACAGGAACTTGATTCGCAGGTTGGGGTGCCCTTCGTTAAAGCACCGTTCGGTTAAAGCACCGTTCGGTTAAAGCACCGTTCGGTTAAAGCACCGTTCGGCCAAAGCATCGTTCGCTTAAAGCAAAGTTAAGAGCACCACTCGGTGAGGACATCCGTGTACCAAGTGTCTAGGAAGCCGTTCCGCATGGTGATGCTTTCTATGGCTGTGTCTGGAGGTATGTCTCGATACTTGATGAGGTGCCAGCCTGCGAGGATGGTGGCGTAATCACAGCCTGGTTCGTCGATAATGAGTATGTTCTTTTTGCCTTTTTTGGCGAGTTTTTCGTTGGCGTATTTGCAGTAGATAACGACTACAAAGTCGTCAGGTGCGGGGGAAGAGCTAAAGCTGGTGTTTTCGAGACTGATGCCTGGCGTCTTGACGAAGAGCCGGCGCGCGCTAATGTTGATGATGGTTCCGATATTTAATCGTGATGTGAAGTTTTTGCTGCGCATGAAATGCACGCGATGGATGGCGTAGGTACCGACGTGTGTCGGCGTAGGTGGAATCAACTCAACCGGACCCGGTAGTGAGTCCGACAACGCACTCCCGCTGGACAGCGCCTTGTACCGCTTCAGAAACGCACTCATGCCTCCCTCCAAAATGTACACCGCAGCCGGCGGATATTCCGCACTCACTAACGCGTCGACCAACTCCTGGATAGCCGGGTCCTTATGCGAACTCGAGTAGATCAGCACCGTCACGTCCCACGCCCAGTCCAAACCCTGCGAAGCGTCCCACTTGGCTTTCGCAGTCGCGATGTGCTTCTTCCGGAACGTGTCTCTGCAGCGCAAAATATTCCCCAGACACCCGTTGGCCCCGCCTCAGGCAGCGTCGGTTCCGCCCCAGCTACCGCTGGTCCCACCCGGTTGGCTCTGCGCCCGCCCCTTACTCTGGTCGTTGGTCATGCAGCACAAAGTAGTCGCCCCATAATGAGGCCTGTTGAACCAAAGAATAAAACCGGGATTGCGAAACGATATAAACGGGAAAAGGGTCCTCATAAGGCTGCACCGCATCGGGGGGCCAGTTGGCAGGAGGCTCAACTGGTTCCTTACTGATCCGAGCCCCCATGGCGGTTTTCCTATGCCAAACACGCGTGTGCTGGCTGCATCCTGTGGCAGGTTATGCCCGTTCCTTCATTCTTCGGGATACGACACCCAAGTGCGAGTGTACTTTGTTCGGGGGCGCCCCTATGATTAAACTACCAATGGCGTCTCTTGCCAATGTAATGTTTTCGAACCCGCCGAGCAGATGCACATTCTTGTCTTGAATCAAAATACGGGTCCTGGTGGCGTTTTGGATTGCGTCGCGCGTCCTGCCATTTTTACCGGCAACCCGACCGATAGCTCTGCTCAAATTCTCGCCTTCCAGACGACGCACTTCAGTTATCTTGAATGACTGTAAGAAGATGTCCTCCAGACGAAGCACAGCGAGCGCGTCCCTCACCTGGAAACCAACCAAAAAAGCTTTGAAATACTCCACCGCTTTTGTTACGTGGCTTTCAAGTTTCCTAACCTCCGCATCCGAAGGCTTCTCTTCCGCCGAAGACGGCTCACTCAGAACCCATGCCGGAACTATCCAGATCTGCTTCACCCGCGGAACAAACTTCACGGCTAATTTGAGTTCTTCGATAACTGGCTTCGTCAGCTCCACCCAACTCTTCTTTAAGGCTCCGATGCGGTGCTCCGGTGTAATTACCTTCTTGGTCAAAAGCTTTCTCAACTCGCTCCTTTGCTGCTCCTGAGCACTTATATGCTGCGCTGTCACCGCAGACTCCTCAATTGGCTTGAAGCTCACCTCCTCCACCGCCACCGGCACCGGGTCCACCGGCTGCATCACCGCATCCGTCTCCTCTTTGGAGGGCATTTCATTGTTCGCCTCGTACGGGACACTGGTCACTGCCTTCTTCGCCGACCGCCTTTCCTTTTTCGTTCTCACCGGCGTAAAGCCGTCGTCCACGTTCATTGAGGCCGTTAAAAAATGCCGCGCACCCGCTCGAATAATGCAACTCCTTCCATACCTCCATGAAGTGGGATGGATCAGCCAATGCACTGTTTCACGCTACTTCTCAACTGGGTTGAAGGGGGGTTTGAGACAGCTGTCTATTTCTTCTAATTTTGTGTTGTCAAAACGGCGAGATAAAAGTAGTGTTTGGTACTTAGGCTTGAGCTTGGGAATATTTAAACCGCCGCGCAGCTGTACCGACGAACACCTCCCACTGGTTGGAACGATACGTAAGCGGAAAGCGAAGCAAAATTATGTAAGGATTTTCGATTGAAGCCCAGCACACGCGTGTGCACACGCGTGCGCGGGATGTTGAAGAGTTTATTGGAGCCCATGTTATTGCAGATGTCGTCCTCGGACACGAAGCCTCGGTGGAAGAGCGTATATGCGCTGTGGATCCCGATAGAATTCCCGGTTTTGGTTGGTGAGGTGTTGGTGAGGGCGTTTTTGTTGTGTGTTTACTACTACTACAAGTACATGACGCCGGTGCATTTGGTGATGGGAGACTGGAGCGAGCTGGCTCACTACTCTTACCCGTATTCGATGAATCAAGTTATTCCTTCGAGTACTTTGAACGTGATGGTGGTTGTGTTTTCCGTGTCTGCGGGAGTGGTGACGTGCATCGCGGCCCTGTTGTTGGCGAGGTCGCATTTATCTTTTTCGTCTCTGGCGCATTCGTTTGCCTACTACGGATTGGCGTCGTCTTTTTCGTTCACGTTGACGGCGGCTATTACGAATGTACTCAAGCAGTACTGCGGGAGGTTGCGTCCTGACTTTCTGAATCGGTGTTACCCGTCGATGTACAAGCCCTACGAGTTGCCTCACATAGATTTCGACCAGATCATGAATCCCCGGCTACCGTGCGAGCCGGGCACACCATTTGACATCCTGGACGGTCGGCGCTCACATCCTTCCGGTCACAGCAGCTACACCGCTTCCGTCTGCGTTGTAGCCGCTGTCTACGTATATCTGATGGTGAAGCGGATAGGCGAAGTGAATGCTCTCGCTAGAGTGCGTGCTCTGGCCGGCACACTCGCTGCCGCGCTCGCCATCGTGCTCCCCATCTACGTCGGCAGCACCCGCGTCCTGGACCGCAGACATCACGTCACCGACGTGATCGGCGGCCTCGCTCTCGGTACCGTCTGTGCTGGCCTCTCCTGCGTTCTCTACTTCAGAGAAACCACCGCCTTCCCGCTCCTGGTCAACAAACCAGCCACCAATAGCGCCCTCGGAGATGGAGGCGCCCTTGGAGATGGAGGGAAAGGGAAATACATCGTACACGAGATGACACCTCCCCAAAACCCCTACCTAGACAGCTACGGCCAGCAACCCATGGTCAAATCCTACAACCCGTGATGTACCCCGTGCTTTGCCTCCACTTAGTGACCTCCCATCCACCCCGTGGGATTCAACTAGTTTTCGCTGTGTGTTCAAATAGGTCCCACGTTGTCGATGCTCAAAACCGATTCTGTCTGTGAAGAGACTTCTCTGTTTGTGAAAAGGCAGTTACTTCTGCGCGGCCTCGTCGATCTCCTCTTCGGAGTCGGAGTCGTCGTCGTCATCGTCGTCATCGTCGTCTGAGACTCTCTTGGCGTCTGCTGCACGGTCGTCATCTTCGTCATCGGACGCGGATTCGGCCTCCTTGAGCCATTGCACGAAGGCGGCTGCGGCCACACGAGCCCGTTCCCTGGCCTCCAGCACCTGGCGTCGTTCGAGTTTCTTTTCTTCGTCAGCGGCTTTGCTGTCCGTAGCTGATGATCGGCGTTTGGACTTCTGCTTCGTGTCTGTGGTCTTGTCATCCGACTTGGTGGCGCCGTCTACCGACTCTGCACTTTCTCCAGAGGACCTGGCGGTGCCCTCTCCAGCCCCGGACGCCTCCTCAGCAGTCCCGTCTACAACCGCATCTTGCTTGACTTCAATTGGTTTGGTCTCTACTTGTTCGGCCGCCTCCGCCCGTTTCGCTTCTGGCTTCGTTATTTCCTCGGGGTCAACTCTGACAGAATACCGGCCCACGACAACGTCTTCTTCCAAGATGTCGCAGTTATATAGGGTGTGAAGTATCAGGCCGAACTGTTCCCAAGCCTGGGGTTGCTTCCTAGCCACGAACTGCTCCAATGCCTCTAAGGTAATGTCGCCATCAATTGACCGATCGCAAATGGCGCGTAGGTAGTTAGCCTGTTGCTTCAAGGTCTCGGGGTTTAGTGGCAACGGAGCAATGATGTCCTCCGCCGCAGTCTTCGCATCTTCGGCAATCGTGCCGTCAGCAGTCAGGTCCTTCGGCTTTTCAGCAGAAGAAGGGAACAGGGCAGCCAAGGTGATGTAGACGCGTAGGGCGCCGGAGAAGTCCTGGGCGACCTGGAGAAGCCGGACCTCCTGGAAGAAGTCCTTCGGTAGGGGGCGTTCGCCCTTACTGAGAAAATACTGCAATCGTTTAACGATGTCTTGGACCTCATCCGCGGAGTAGGACAGGGTTTGTTGGGCTCTGTGGTGATGTCGGTGGTGGTGCTTGTGCTTCTTCTTCTCGCTTTTGCTCTTTTCTTTTTTGTCCTTTTTCACTTTCTTCGCCTCGTCTTCCACGTCAGCGGCGCCGTCGGCAGTCTTGGTCTTACGGCGCTCCTCCTTCTTACCCTTCTTGCCCATGGTCGAATCGCCACCAGAGGGCGGATTTTTGACGATAAAAGTGGCTACCTTGTGACCGTTGTCCATGTCACCGGAATGACCACAGGCGTTGCACTTGCCCTGGACGCGGCCCTTCAGGACCAGCAGATCCACCTCGGGAAGCTTACACTTCGGGCACAGCACGAACCTCTCGATAAACTTGTCAATTACTGTCTGCACGTCCGCCTCCGAATGAATGCCATTCACAATCGCTTTACCCTCAGCCATTTCAAACTTACTCGACGCACCCAGCTCACAACCACAGAACTTCGTCGGATACTCCGGAGCACGTTTCAGGGCGCGTGCAATCTCCCCCATGTTCATAATATTTGTCTTCACGCCATTGCCACGACCCTCCACCTTGGCCCTCACACGAGGCATCTTGTAACGATAGTTCGGATCATCGTGGTAACCTAATAAGAGACCAATTCACACCACCTGAGGCTTAGGCATGTTCCCTTGGCCACAGGACTTCAGCCAGTCGAAGGCGCGCGCCCGTAATGTCGCCAGCGACGTGTACGGGCTCAGGAAGACATCGCGGCCAGGGGGGGGGGGAATATATATGCGGGTTGAGCAGCCCGGGTCGAGGGATTGAGGTTGCTGTGGACATGGAGACCTACACGAGTGTTTCGGGGTAAGTCTTACTTGGAATATTAACGGTGGCCATTGTTCTTCGGTATCTTTATAAGGTAGGGAGGTTAAGTCCATGCGCTTCACTAGAGTTCTTTAAAAATTTTGGCGGGGGGTCTTACTGACCCAGACCCGACCCAGGAATTTATCACCACCGATGTGCTCGCAAAGGCGGCCGTTATTAGTGAATGACCATTCATCACCGAGCGGTTTAAAATAGTCGCAAGAGTACGACGAAAGGCTATCTGTGCGATCCTCGTCGACAGTCCGACGATTCTTTCGACTGTTCTTTGAGTCCCGTGTCGCTCCGGGGTCGGCGACCTGGGGGGCGGCGTCGTCGTCTTCTTGCTTTATCGTGGATGTGGTCGAGTCGGCCGGGGTGCCAGCGGGTGTTGGGAAGTAGAGGGTTTCAGGGAGTGCTTTTTGGCTCCCTAGTTGGGCCAGCCAAGTCTCGAAAATGGCTTTGTTACTGAGACCGGGATCAGCGTCATCAACCTGGAAGTAGAGGACACGGTCGTCTGCTTCCAACGTCAGACCCTGAAAGCGGTCCGTATCATTGGTCGCGAGCGGAATTCCCTGGAAGTTGATGAAGTCGCCGACGTACATATCTCCACGCACAAAAGAACGATAGTCATCAGGCAGCGAAGGCGCCTTGACCAGCCGCCCACCGCGCGGCTCTCGCCTCCTCCGGAAGAGCGAATTCACGTCTCTATATGTGGTGTGCCACTGCCCTAAGCGCTTCTTCGTCGCCGCTACAACAGGGTCCTCAATGTCCTCCCACTCTTCCGCATCAGCACCCGCCGTCAGTGAACTTTCCGCCGCCCCAATCAACACCTCCTCATCCCCCGACCGCCGTCCCGGCTTCTCCTCCTTGACCTCCCTCATATAATTACAACTAAAAATTCCAAACTCTCGCTCCCCCACGGGGCAGCCCAAAACCTGAGAAAAACCGCCCAAGAAAGGCAAGCAGCCTCTCAGGGTCAACCCACTCGCCGGGCGGGAGCCTGCGCCCATTCTACAGATACCGATGTGCCGTTGAACCGGCTCCCGAACTCGATGCCACACGCCACACAAATGTCCTGCTTCCACTGCTCCGATTTGGGGGACCCAAACGGACCCCCGTACCGACCCACAAACACCGACGCCTCCTTGGGTCTGCGAGAACCGATGTGGTGATAACTGATGCTCCCCTGTGTGAACTGTTCCTCTGGATAAAAGCTGCCCGGGACTGTGCTGAACCGGCGGGGAGGCCCGTCAGTTCGGGGAAACCCGTCGGTCGAGTGCGAGCTGTCATGCTCGCGCTATCACCCGGCGTTCAGGGAAAGGAAGTGGGCCTTACGAGTCGAATAGTAGTTTGCAGTGGGTTCCTTTCGGTGGAAACAAGAGGACCTTGGACATGCCGGATACACCCAGCTCAGTTCGCAGTAGGCGCTTTAGACTCACTTCTGCCTTCCGCTTCTCGCCTTGGGTGGCCCGCAGTTGACGCGGGATCCAGCTCACAAACACCATGCGGACGTGGTCATCCTCCCAGACCTGACGGGCCGTCGATCGGTCCTCATTTCCGAGCGGTCCGGTCATTACCATCATGTTCAGGGCCGAAGGCAACCCGGCCAGCGCCTGGGCCCCCACAGCGGCCACGGGCTGAGCCCCCATTACCTGAGTTCCCATCCCCTGAGTCCCCATTCCTTGGGTCCCCATTCCCTGAGTCCCCATTCCCTGAATCCCCATTCCCTGAATCCCCATTCCCTGAATCCCCATTCCCTGAATCCCCATTCCCTGGGTACCCATTCCTTGGGTACCCATTCCCTGGGTCCCCATTCCTTGGGCTCCCCTGGTGGCCGAGGGCCTAGCAGCCATGGTCTTAGGGGCTATGGGCTGAGTGGTCATGAGCTGAGCGGTCATGGGCTGAGAGCCCAGTTGTGAGTAGGTATTTCGAAGGCCGAAGCCAGGGCCCAGCAGCTCCGGCGTGAGGGCAGGAATCAGATGGCCGAGTTCCGATCCGCGTCGATGCGTGCCTAAGGGTGCGATCAGTTGCACTCCATTCGCGGTAATTAGAGGGTACGCAGGTGTGCGCTTCAGGTTCTGTTCTGTCGGGGAGAAAGGCAGCACCGGCACTGGCAGAACGCCCGGCGCTTTGCTTCCGGTGCTCGTCGGAGAACTGCTGCTCCCGCTGCTCGGGAAAAAGTCAGCAGTGAAATTGAGAGGCTCGGCTGTAAAATTCAGCGCGTCACTCTCATGTTGCTCGGTCTGCGGGTCATTCATACACTCGTCCACACGCTTAGTTGCCACACGCTTCGTTTCCACACGCTTCGTTTCCACACGCTTCGCCTCCACACGCTTCGTTTCCACACGCTTCGCCTCCACACGCTTCGGGGCCCCAAATTGCCCTTGCCCTTCGTTGTCCTCGTCGTAGTCCTCGTGGTTATAATCGCCACGACTGCAATCGCCGTACTCTCCCTTGACGTACGGATCGAAGACAGCGGCGTCACCCGTGAGGGAGAGCCGCTGTCCGTACAGATGGCCGTCCGCGGTCTCGGTCGTCAGACAGTCGGAGAGCTGTAGCTCCGGCGGGTCGTACTGGATGGGTAGAGACAGGGACGCACTGCGCTGGCCGCCCAGTCCTTCGGGCACGGTGAGATCTCGAATGATCCGGTCCAGAGTGTTCTCATTGACTTGCGACATGGACGCGGACTTTTCCGCCCGAGGCAGTTCCTGCAGGCTGAATGTGTGGTCGTCATAGGTCATTTCATACGCGTTGCCGTTGTCGTATGCGTGGCCGTTGTCGTACGCGCTGCTGTTGTCGTAGGCCTTCCCATGGTCGTAGACCTTGCCGTGGTCGGTTGGTTCACGCTTGGTCAGTTTGTGTGGTGTGCAGTGCATGACTGCGGGGGTGCTTGAAGTGACCTCCGAGTCACCCAGACTCCGGGACATGAGGAGAGGTGGACTGTCGGCGAGAAGCGCACTTTCAGCGAGAAGGCCCGAGCTATTCCTGTTGGCGCCTGGTGAGGTGCTGATATGGTGCAAAATCTCACGCAGCGCCTGTTCGTCGTTCCAAGTCGGCGGCAGCGAGCCCAAATTACTCCCTGAGAGCGACGGCGAGTGGCTCCGATGCCGGCTCGTGCCCGACCAGGTCGCGTGCGAAGCGGTTGTTTGGGCGGAAGCCGGCGACGGCACGCGCAGCGTCTGCTTCTCCTGTCCCTCTGGCGCGCACGGACTACCTTGCTCATCGCAATCTTGGGCGTACTCTTGGCCGTACTCCGGCGCCGCGAATTCCGGCGTCGTGAACTCTGGCGCGCCGTATTCCGGCGTCGCACACGTGTGTGCTGCGCTCTCCTGCGCTCCGTATTCTTGGGTTTTGCCATCTTGGGCTCCCCCAGTGTGCAGTGCACCCGTGTGCGCTCCACAAGAGTGCGCCCCGCAGTCTTGGGCGCCGCCGGTGTGCGCGATGGCGCCGTTTGGTCGCAGCCCGATGAGCGTTTGTCGGTAGAGGTCGATGTGGTGGCGGGCGATCCGGGCAACGATGGTCTCATCGGCGGCGGTCCAGCGGCGGGCGACTTCGCGCGCAATTGCCTGGGCTGCGTACTCGGCAGCCTCGCCTGTCATTGACCTTTATATTTTATTAAAACGTGATAGCTCCCCGCCCTCCCCCCCGACAGCCCTCCGGTCATGGCCCCAGGCATGGCCACCCGCCCTCCAGCCATGCCTCCAGCTAGCCCCCCCGCGATGTTGTTCCTGACACGATAGGTGAGGCAAATGGGTGGCGCGGCCGGACCGACTTTGAGTCTGCGTGCACGGCAGACGCCCTCGACACTGCGTTCCTTCCTCAGACACTCTTCGCCGAGACAGACGTCAACGGCGAAACTTTGCACCTCTAACTGCCCGGCGATGAATGCGGCCAGCAAACCCACTGGGAGCTCACCGGACACAACCATGTGCGGACACTTTAACCGCTGCGCACCTGGACACGCGCTGTCAGGCATGAGGTGCAACATCACCGCAGACGAACTCGCCTTCAAAGCGCCCATCACCTGACTCGTCGTCGCCTTGCTCAAGGCCTCCATCTCACACGTCACCGGGCCTCCGCCCTTTTGGTACAATGCCACAGACTTCTCCGCCGCGTCCAATCCCAGGAAACATAATAACCGTTTCTTCATCCGCGCCTCCTGACACTCGAAGTAAGGTAACAACTTGTCCACTAGATGTTGCATCCGCTCGTCTTCACTACAACCACGACCACCATCAACGACGACCACCATCAACGATGACCACCATCAACCACGACCGCATTATGTCACACCACCACCACTACTAGCCAAACATCCTGTCCCCATCGTCGCTACGAACGTCTTCATCGGCAAAATCTCGCCAGATACACCCCATCAGCAGAACTTACTTTATGCTGTCTATCAGATTCCCCTCAACACTCATTTGGCATTTTGGACACGCCGACCGTCGCTGAATAAGGTGTCTCAGTATACACGTTCTACAGACTAACGTGAGCTGTACGGTGCAGGCGCGGTGCACAAGGGGGTGCGCAGTTTACAGGTGTGCAGACAGTCCTTTATGGTAGAAGCATTTCGGTAAAAACCTCCGCATATCGAACAGATTAGTTGGTCGGCTAGAGCACGCACCTTGAATGACACCTGAGGGGCAGATCGTTGCCACGCAGCAAGCACCGTACATCAATGCCTTGAGGCGTTTGGAAGAGGTTGACGTCGTTGTCAATTTTCATACAGGCCAGATCAAAAATTATAGGACATCCCAACAGAGGAGCTCCCCAATTGCATGCTGTCTCAAACACCTGTGTTCTAGCTGAAAACTGTGGGGCTAACAAGGATCACTGAAGATCACCTGCTAGACAGTTCGCTAACTAATTTTCGACGTGGCCCTTGAGAGACCACGGCGTTGTGTCAAAACCACTAATGAATTCATCGTTGCTCACCGGCTTGCCGTAAGAGATGGGTGATGGTGCGAAGCCGGTGCCCATATAGCCGTAGCCGAAAACGGACTCGTCTTCGATGGGATTGGATGCTCCGGCTAGGTCTTCAGGTCCGGCCCCGATGTTGGCGGCAAACACATCGCTGAAAGAAGAGTCCGTCCTGACACGTGTGTGTGTCGAGGGACGTGGATGTGTGTCGAGGGACGTGGATGTGTGTCGAGGGTGTGTGCGCTTACTTGTATTTCGGGTACAGTGCGAGCGAGCTGTCGGAAGCGGAGTACCATGGTTCGTTGGGCGAGTCCACGGCTGCCGTCCAGTTCGCAGCAGTGTTTCGTTGACCCCACTCGGCGGGAAGTTGTGTGACGGTACGGGGGCGGCCGCCGCGGTTTTTGCCGCTGGCACGGGCCTGTTTCTGAAGGGGGAGGCTGGCGATCACGGCGGCCTGAGGCGTCTGGAACTTCTCGGCGTGAGCCTTCGCGTTTTCCCAAATGTCCCGTGCGGAGCAGTAAGCCTCCTCGATGGAGGGGAAGCGTGAAAGAGCAACCCAACCAACATAGACGTTCTGATAACGAACACGGAAACCCTTCTGCTTCTTATCGAAATAAAGACCGGGTAGTGCCGGCAGCGACTCAGCTATTGACATAATATCATTCCGAATCTTCCGCTTGCCCGTCTCATCCTGCAATGTAAAACGCGATAACGCACTTCGTGCGTCTGCCTCGCCCCACGCACTAGCCGCAGTCCGCCCCCGCTTCCGCTTCCCCGCCTTACACACCGACTTCCGCACCGCACCGTCTCCTCCCGGTGAGTAATTCGCGTACACTCCCTACAAGGGCGCTGTCCAAGGCCGAATCGGCGGCCCCCAGAGGCTGCCCCCAAAGGGTGCCCCGAGGGAGACTCCCCTGGGTACGAGAAAGAACTAGGGAGGGGAAAGAACTAGGAAGGGGAAAGAACTAGGAAGGGGAAAGAACTAGGGAGGGGAAAGAATTAGGTAAAGACCGGTTCGAGGAGGAAGGTGCTGCGGGTCGGTACGAGGGGACGGTACGAGGGGACGGTACAGGGTCGAGGGTCTGTATGCAGGGATAAGTACCTCTGTGTAGGACGGGGCCAGTTGCTGTGAGCTCTGGGAGCATGGTCGTAATGAATGCGAGTTCGCCGCGGTTCCGGGCATGCCCGAAAGCGACAGAAGGGCTGTGTCGTTTGCCGGCGTTTCGTTACCCTCCCCGCCACCGCCTGACCCGTTCGCCAAGGCTGCTCCAGACAACGCGAGTCCGGACAAGGGAGCCCCGTTCATACCCGAGCCGTTCAGGCCAGAGCCGCTGAGGCCGGAGCCACT